ATGTTAGAATTATTTCGTTGAAAAATTTCTTAAGGCATTTATTTTATTATTACAAAATAAAATTAATCAGTCAAAGATTAAGTGATAAAAACATATCTCGCCAATAGTTTCTACCAATAATAAAAATTAAACTAAATTCTTCACTAGATGCTGTATTAGGATGAGTATGATGACATTGATGAGCTCATTAAATTTATTTTAAATATGTATTCGATGCCTTGTCATTCCAAAAAGAATATCATTGATAGATTAATCCATCATGTACAATGAAATAAATAAGTCCATATAATGTTATTTCAAATCTTATTTCAAGATGTAACGGTGAGGGTGTGAATCAACCAATATAAATTAATGTGAAAATGGTTGTGGAATATAGATGGAATTAATTCCATACTTAGAATTGTTATTATTATTATTATCCATGTATTGTGTCATACTCACATATTTATTGATGTCTTGCGTTGACTAAAAACCTATAAAAATCGATTGAAGGAAGTATATACTAAGAATATCTACAGTTAAAAGTTATACTTAAATAATCAAATATAATTAATCAGGCCTACTAGACTTTGTCTATAATAACATTGTGTAGCTTGATGTAACATTCAGCATAAATAGAATGTTCATGAATCAGATCTATACTATATAATAGCAACTGACATACCTAAAAATTCTTTTCATTTTAATGAAAATTAAGAAAATTAGTAAAAAGAATGAATTGATTTTTTTTATCAATATCAAAAGTTTATACAAGAAAATCAAAACAACGAAACTTTATTGTTCTTCAGATTATTAAACATCTAGAAGATGCAGCAATTGAATCAATCTTCTTGATAAACAATACAGAATTGACTTGGACGTTTGTTAGGTCTGTAACTCACCACTCGATAGTTGTAAGATCGTCACTTGGATGTGCATTATAGCTGCTCACAGTACATCTATTTATACTGAAACCATTTTCTTTGATACTGCATTCTAGTACGGGTATCAATTGGTGACCACCATAAGAAAATGCACTTGTATATGATGAATTCGAACTATAATACACGCTGGGACTTACAAAAATGGCAGTAGCAAAATCAGGTATACCCAAAAATTTTACGTTACGTGCGATATGATTTTTAGACGGATTGATACGTTTTCCGCTGGTTGTTATCGTACCAGGTATGATCAGTCCATCGGTAAGTATTGATCGGACAGCTTCAATAGTCGTTCCATGATATGCTACATGCGGAAATGACTTAGTATCTCGTTCGCAGAGAACCAGGCATGTACAAGGTATAGGAGTGTCTCGTGATGTCAATGGTTGTCCAAGAGCAGCTGCGATAAATATATCTGGTGGTAGAGTAAGTTTATTCGGAATGATATCAACATGACGTATGAATGCATGAATACCACCAAACATAGGTAGTTTGTTTGGACGTGCCTCAGAACTAAACCAATAAGATGAAGGCATTGCTAATGTGTATAAACGAGCATTTGACTGATGAGTAATTGTTACGACAGGTAGTGCGAGAAGTGTATCAGATTTTTTAGCATTGAAAAGAGTTGTTTCGAAAAAACAAATAGCATCGGGTAAGCCATATTTTCGAACATCAGATGAGCAAAGTGTTGTGACTTTAAATGTAACATCATCTGTGACACAATTAGCTGAGAAAGTAAATGTTAAATTATCGCTGTTGAACGTTTGTATGTCTGTAAATGAACCTTTCAATAAAAAGAGGCTGGATTCATTTTGTTTCTTAAATATAGACGCAAATTGACGAGGTTCAAGTTGATGATCTTGACGAGTAAATTGATGACGTGTTTTATCTAATAATGTCTTGTGAAGAGTGAGACGAAGTGGCGTGTCCACAAGTTTCGAAGTTGCATAGCGTGCACAATATACAGCTGACATTACACGTGTTTTTGGTTTTTCGAAATTTAGCGGACGTCCAGCGATAGAGAAATAGCATTTTTCGTTCTGTAGGTTTTCAGGTAATGTTTGTAGTAGATCTTCATATACAGTCTTGTGATTTATTTGTAGTCGTACTATCGGTTCTTCTCCGTTACCTTCGTCTAAATATATATATACATCTATTAGTTTATGACTTTTTAAATTACGTTGATATTGAAGTAAAATTTCGTTAATTTTCTTCGATGAATCTTTATCTACTTTTTCAGATATTGCTTCATTAAAGACAGTAGTTCCGAAATCATTTTTAATATTGACATCTGCACCATATTCAAGTAAAAGTTCGACAATTAAAAAATGATCATGAACTTTTGCACCATGTAATGGAGTATTTTTTGGTTTATCTTTCATTTGAATATTAACATTAGCTCCATGTTCTAATAACCATTTCGCAACAGAATATTGTCCAAAACGACATGCATAATATAATAAACTTATGCCATTAGAATCAATAATATCTTTGGATTTATTATCGAAATAATAATAAAACCACCAATCTACACCTGTTCGTGCCATTTCAAACATATCACGTTCACGCATACATTTGAATATATCAGTAATACGACTATCATGTTTAGTACCTTGTTCTTCAGCTGTTGTACCCCATCGATTTCTAAGAGTTGGATCACAGCCACGATTGAGAAGATAATCAACAATAGGAATATGACCACCGTAAGCAGCGAGATGTAGAGCAGAATTTCCATTGAAATCAATAAGATCCATATTAGCTGAACATTGTACTATAAGCCAACGAACTAGTTCGAAATAACCTTTTTTACTAGCACAATGTAATAATGTTTGATGTTGAGCAAAATATGTTGTATCTTGACATTGTTTTAAACCATTCTTTAGAAACCAATCGAGTTCATTTGCAGCTACTCGTACGTAATCGATTTGTTTAAATACAATAAATACATTTTTCACATAATCATTATAAGCTTCTTCCTCAGCAGTACGACCATATGAGTTCGCTATTCGATAATTGGCTCCACTTTCCAAAAGATATCGAACAATATCAGCATGTCCATAAAAAGAAGCAGCATGTAATGCAGTACTTTGTATACGTTGCGATAAATCCGAGTCTGCACCTTCTTCAGTTAAAAACTTCACAGCTTCTATATTACCAGTACGAGCTGCACTATAAAGTGTTGTGTGACCTGTTATAGGATCTTGAGCGTTGAGTATTGTTAAATTAGCACTACGTAGTCGTTGTTTTAGATCGCGTATTAGATCAGGTTCAGCAGCTAGTTGTTGTAGAGTATATTCATCAATTGACAATTCAGAAATCCATTCGTTGTGAGAGTCATAATGTTTACGTTTATCGAAATCAGATAATGTTTCGTATGCTCGACAGATATGTCGATAATTGATTGCTGAAATTTTCTTTTGGAGATGTTCATGAATTTTCGTTCGATAGACTTCACATAATTTATCATAGTCAATATCTTCAGGAACATCAAGTATTTCGTACGGTGTTTTATCTAGTGTTACCATATATATATATATTAATTTTTTTTTGTCATAAATATTTCAAACAATCTTGAGTGTATATATATATATATATATATATATGTGTCGTAGCGAAGTTACACCGTCCGACGAATTTGCAACTTCGTCAACAATTTTGACGAAGTTATAATTTCGTCAGCCGGTGTAACTTCACTATGACATATTTGTAGATGACGAAATATTGAACCGTACAAACAATCATCGCTAGAAATGTCTACAGCAAATATAAACGGCATCAATATACTTCATTTGCCCGATGAAATACTACTTGCTACCACCAACAGATTAAATATGATCGACGTACTTTATTCACTGGTGGATGTGTATCAAAGATTTGATCGACTAGTATTCGATTCTCGCTACACTCATCATCTAGGTTTAAGAGTTAAATCATTGTTTAATAATAATTTTTCAGTAGGCAAACAAGTTTTTGATAGAATTTGTGAAGAAATTTTGCCTCGAATTAATAATAAAATATACAAACTCATTGTTGATCGACATTCTATGGAACGTATATTTCGTGTTATTGTCTATTATCAACTTTATTCATTAATACTTGTCAGTTTTCAACCAGATATATTTTTAACAGTTATTTACTTTCACTTATTTAATTAATAAAACATTTCTGTACATTGAAGATGATACAAAACTTTGTTATCTTCTCACTGATCAAATCATGCATCTTAATATTAACATTATTGATGTTCATGTATGACGTATCCATATATACTATTGAAAGAAAAAAAAAATATATTTCAATCATTATATGTTTTTTTCAAGGTTCATTTAATTATTAAAAACAAATTTAAAAAAAGAATGCCCTCTAAGTAAACAAATACGATTAAAAGAGAAATGAAAATCTCTTTTCTAATACAGATTATGTTCAGTATCATCTGCTAAAGAAGAAAAACTGATTTATAGATGAATAGCAGTCATCTGATCAATGAAATTAAAAAAGCAATTTTAAATGACAAGATCAATTTTAAGAAGCGATTTTCTCATATGTTGGTTTGTCAAAACTTTCGCTAATAATCATCAAAGAGCACACTATACATTATTTTGAAAAATGTTCGTGTTAATAAAGATTTCTCTTCGATTAGTGTTCATTATGAATATTGTTTTTATCAAGTTAATTTGAATTGTGTTATTTTAGAATTCGTCGAAAACTCGCTTATAGAGAATAAATGAAGAGAACTTTCATCTGATGATGATGTACGTTTATTTGAAACTATTCGAATTGTTTATATCTGAGAAATATAAAATCTTACCGATCTTTTTATGAAGATTTTCTTAAAACTATCGAATGTCGATGAGAATAGATAAGATCTCTTATTTTCACAGTTTTATACTCAATAAAACAAATCAATATATTTTTCACTTCCTATCGAAAATAAAATATTGAAGTAATCTAAAACAAGGTTATGTTCATTCTTATCTTTTAATAATCATTTTTATAAAACAAAAGTTTATTTATACGTATCGAGAAAAATGTATAAAAAATAATTCATTTTCATTGATTATTCTTCATCAATTATTACAAAAGTCTTATAAACAAATAAAAGAGAAAAGAAGAAATTGTTAAATATGACCATAGTTTTATCAATAATTATTATTCATAGATGATTCATTGATAATTCGTTGATTATCATCTAATTAAATATTTTTTTTTTGTTCAAAAATTATTCATTATGTAAGAAGATGTTTTCTATTTTGAAGCGAAAAAGTTTCAATGAGATCATTCTTCATAACGAGATTTTCTTCATCACTTTACAAAATATTTTCGAATATTTCATGAGAATAAAATTATATAAACAGTTATTCAATCTGTTTCATTATCAATGAAAAACTTTTATTGACAAATAACAATTGATAATATATTCAAATGAGATTTGTTTTTCTCTCATGAAAAATTATTTTATAAAAATAATGAAAAGTTAAACAAATTTCTTGTTAAGAAACATAAGATCAGAGAAATTTTAATAGATATTTTACTTTTTATGATCTTTTTCAAGAAATAAAATAGAAGAAAAGAGAGAAAATCTTCGTGTGTAAAAAAAAAGATTTTGATAATTTTTCGAAAGAGAATTATGAACAAAGTTGAAGAATGTGGATGTGCGTGCGGGCGTGAGTGTGGATGAAGAGAAGAGCCACGTCCACACTCACACCCTTATGTGGTTCATAATTATGTATATCGTGTTTGTTTCAGAACTTCTATCTTTCATTAAAATGTCTCAATCGGATTTTTATTGAGTGAGATTTCAATCGATTGAAAAGATTAAAATCGATTGTCGATAAAAACACTATTACAATCGAAACAATCAATAATAATCGGTGAGGCAGATTGTTTTTTTTAGTCGATTTATAAATTTTAATTGATTTTTACATCGGTAATCAAAAATAATTGTGCTTTTCTGAGGAATATCTATTACTGGTTAATCAGATATCTACTAAAATCCTGTGGTTTTTAGCGAAAAAATAGATCAAAATCGATTGAAATACAGTAATCGATTATCTGAATTATAAAAGATTTTAATTATTTTTATGTCTTAATTGAATTTTCCATGAGAGTTGCGAAAGCGATGTGAATGTGGACGTAGATATTTTTGTCTTCTTCTTCCCATACTCACACCTACACCCGGCTCACATCCACATCCTCACAAATTTTGCATTTGGGTGTGGGTGTGGGTGAGTGTGGATATGGGTGTGGCTCAAGATTAGCTTTTCGTCCATATCCATACCAACAGCCCACACTTCCACACCTACCCACACAGCCACAGCCACACACGTACCCAAAGCGAAATTAATACAACCGGTTTTGAAACATAGGTTGAAATCAATAAAAATTCTGGAAAAATATTGAAACTAGTAAAAAAAAGGTAAACTTTTAATTCGGTCTAAAATTTGATGAAAATTTTATTAAATCTATTGCTTGTATTGAGAAATATGCATTCGATTTGTTTTGAACAGTTTTGTAGTGAATAAATCAATTTAAAAAAGTGAGAAATCATTCCTAACGTGTTGCGGACTCTGTCATGATAGCATTTGCTTTCTATTCTTTTCTACTGAGGATGTGTAGAGCATAGATTAAAATATAGCATTACATCGTGTTTTTATGGACTATTCAATCATATTTTGTAGTGAAACAGAATGAAGTCAAATACATTTTTTTTTCTTGCAAACAACTCCACGTTGAGGCTGAGAAGTATTGGTAGCAAACGAGATAATCTTACAAATGTCATAAATTTCTTTGAATCTATATGAAGTGCTAGTAGCAAGAATGCTAGAAAGCATGGTTCATTTAATCTCTAGTCTCAAATTAAGAGTATTACAAAACAAGAAAAGAAAGTCATCGTCTGTCTACTAGAATTACATTTTTACCAGAAGTCTAAAATCTAGAGTCTAGATGGATCTTCTTTCTACAACCACTCAATATAAAGAAACTAAAGCATGAACAGTAGAATTCATGACTGTATAAAACTCTGCCTCCATCTTGCTTTGTCGAATAAAATTTCATTTTATACGAGAACGCAGATTAATAGTTACTTAATTGTGAAATTCAAAGTCTTTTTCTATGACTTATTAATTATAGCTACGGTCGTTTGACCTTCACCTTTCCAAGTTGCATTTCCAATTCTTGAATTCGATTATCTTTAGTATGAAGCAGCTTTTCATACGTTTTTGACTTTTTCTCGAAGCACACCGTGTTCTTCGTCCTTGAGTCCCAATAGTTTCCTACAGGAAAATAGAGAATCGACATTATGGTTAGCACCGTACCTAGTCCTGTTGTCGTTTGAACTTGTAACAAACGTTGATGTTCAACATTGTATGAACGTTCTGTTTCCCATTGTAGGTATGATGTTTGCTGCATACAAATGGAATATTCTTGAAGTGTTTTTCGTAACTGAAGAAGAAACAGTTCGGTAGCACAATGAACTCCATTAGTAATATCAACCATGATTATGTTTGGTACATGCGAGCCTAAGTTCGGCAATACCTTGGTACTCAAATGATGCCGATTAGCCGTACATTATGTCATATTTCGATCTACATGAATTGTATTCAAATCGATCAATTACGGAAAGAAATAAAAGATAATATCAACAGTTAGAATATCATTCGCAAAGTCTTTCTCTAAATCTCACATCGGTAGCAAGAGAGGAATCGTAACGAGCCACGACAATAGATCATGGTAGATTTTTCTATGGAGGTAAATGTAATAGTTGTATTCATTTAACGCATTGCTTCTAAAATCTAACATCTTACGGAGTATGTTTGAAGACAAAAATGACAAAACAAAACCAATACTACTATGACTATTGCTTCGACTCTTATCAATAAATTTGAGCAAAACAAGTAAAAATTTTCATTCGTCACGTTTGTAGAAAAAAAATGATCATCATTACGCCCAATTTTCTTTTTATTTTAACGCTGTTTTTCTTCTAGAAAGACAAATTCATTGGACTCGAAAAGAGCAACTTTTCATTTTCTCTCATAACTAGTCAAACAACAACCGATATGAGTATGAATTAAATGAAAAAGCAAATTAACAATGTGAATAAAGCACAAAGAAGAGCCAAAAAAAACAAATATGAAAAGATATGAAACAAATGAATAAATAAATGAATACATAGATTTTTCTTGTTTCGTGATTTGCGAAGCGTAAATGAAAGAAGCTGATTTAGAATGACTTTTAGAAAAATAACAAAAAATAATACAGAACTTTTTGTAAATATTTTCGATATGAAAAAATGCGTTTGATTTTCCTTGCGGCGTTTAAACAAAAGATTATAAATATTAAATATGAGAAGATGACCTAGTTTTTCGAATTTGCTTTAAGATATAATGTTATTGAGTGAGAGATAAAAATGAGCTTATGTTTTTGACAATTTTTGCTTAGCAAATGTTATTGAGTTGATATATGAGACCAGCTTGTATTTTTGACATTTTGTTTTGGAAAAAGAGAAAATGAATTTGCTTTGTAATAGTTTTAGAAAAAAAAAATATATGAATTTGGTTTCGAAAACGCAAACGTGAGCTTGTTCTTTTTTAGAGAGTTTGAAAAAAGAATAAGAAGATAAAAATAAAAGCTGTTTTTATTAAGAAAAAAGAAAAACCGTTAGACAGAGAATAATCTTGTTTTTAGAGTTAAATAAATAAGATTCTTTTTAGTTTTATTTTGTATCGTTTTAACAAAAAATACACGATACTTGACAGTAATGTTGAGTGACGCTTGTCGAATGCTTACATCAAAGTGTGAATGTGAATGTGACTGAAGAGAAGAAGTACATCCACTCACACCCTTAGGAAAAAAATTATACAGTGCGGCAGAATTAGGAACAAAAAAGTATTTGATAACAATTTTTATTTTTGTAGATAAAAAAAAATGGAGATAGACAAATTTGTATTTTACTGAAAAAGCATTAGTCGATGCATTATGATTAGAGGAATCGAACAGTGTGCGCTATCTTAACTAGAGGTCATTTTCACAAAGAAATTTAGCTGTTTCTGAAATCTACTGCTATTTGTGACCCTCGTGCTATTATCACGCTTATTATACGATACCAACTGCATATTTTTCCATCAATCATACATTAAGTGATTGAGAAATGTTTGTCCTACTTCGAAAACTAAAATTCAGCTCTATATACTACTGAGAACTCGAGTTATCAACGGTTTTCTGAAAAAGTTTTTTTCTGGCAGAATTAGGTAGACTGACTCTACATTCAGTTATTATGAGTATGAAATAATCAGGAATAAATGTATTTTATTTTTTTTTTTTTGATGAATGAATACAACACTAAATAAAGGATAAATTATGTTTTGTTACTGATTAAATAAGAAACAACATTTAAAGCAAATTAGATATATTGATATGTTATTGTTTATGAGTTTATTGAGGTGCGACAATAGGATTTCGTTGTGGTCGTAGTAACAAAAATAATCTTTTCCATTGTATTTTCTTCTGTAGCTGAGATATAAAACCAAGACATACCAAAGGATATAGAAATATTGCAAAGTAACATAAAAAATCAAACTCCAGTTGAGCTTCAATACCTACGTCTTCTGATAGACCACAAAGATGAGCCAACATTAAAACATTCAATGGAATATTGGGTATAAGATATAGAGTAGAATTAAAAATTAATTGAATTGCCATTTTACGTTGTTTACGCCATTGATTACGTGTATTAACAACACGTCGTTTTTGATAATGAACACGAATGAGAATAATGAGACTAAATATACATATGATAAATGTTGGTAAAATACTATTCACAACCGAATCCCATATACCAAGAATAAGATCATTCACATAACATGGATTATCATTACAAACAGGTACTGTATAATCAAATGTATCCATACATGGTGGAAAGATTATGACGATTATATAAAAAATGAATATATAAAAAAGTAAAATGATTAAAGGTAAATAGTGAAAAAGAAAACGTTTCTTTCCACGGAAAAATATTCGATCATGAAATATAAATAAGTAACGATGAATAGAACACCATGCCATAATTATTGTAAATCCATTATATAGACCTAAGTCTATAAACCACAATAAGATACATGTAAAAGGTATTGATGGTTGTATAATGCCAAAACGTAAAAAATTAAGATAAAAAGGAATATTTACTGATTCTATTATTAATCCAATGATGAGCAAAACAATCATCCCATGATTTATTAAAGGCAATCGTAAAGTTTTCTTAGTCAAAAGATGAAAAAGTAAAAATAAAGAACATATGATTGATGGAATATCAAATAATAATAAAAGCCAAAACCGAATTGAACGAGATATGGATGATTCGAATACATGAAATACAACTTCATTACTATCATTACCGTTAAAGCTATAGTTGGTAGTCATTCTCTGAAATGAATATCAATGAAAATATAAATCACAATTTTAAAACTTTTATGATTATCATTTTAATCTTAACGTATTAATTGATATGATCAAGAAAAAAAGAAGCTTGGACTTAAATTTGAAAATGACATTTATCTTAAATCGTAGTTTTTTTTCACGGTTCAAATTCTCTTGCTTTCTTTTTTTTTAATTTTTGAACCAATGAAAATAAAATCCGATGAAAACTATCATAATTATAGCACAATTAATTCTCATTGATAGTAGAAAACTAGATTTAAATATAGCATATAACCGGATAGCGACCTTCATGTCTGAAACCATCAATGAAGCGTCAATGTATTCAATGTAAATTTGTGTTAATAATAAACGCATGAAAATTGAAATGAATATCAAACGTGATGAAACTTCACACTATCTTAGTTTTGAATAAACAATTAAACATGCACTAATGCTATTCTTAAAATATTGTTATTCAGTCAACAAAAAAATCGTACGTATTAACTCATGGTGAGAATGTTTAAATTAAAAAATATTACTAAGGAAACGTAAAACACGTTAACAACATAGAAGAAACATCGCAGGACATTCTAAAAATCAAAACTAAGATAAAGTAGAAATGTTCACTCGATGGATTGACAATAATCATCAGAAGCAAGTTAGTTTGCCTTAGAAGCCATCCATAAAAGTCGTCCAGGTAAAAACTGCGTGTTTTTATACCCTTCTAATTGTAAAAACACAAAATGAAGTTCAGTACAAATGACACTCAAAAATCTCATATAACTGCTTCACAAAATAACTATCTGTTCATGTAGCATAATCTTGAACTATTATTTCCACATCACAATTCATATTCAGATGATTGATTCAGTTGTTCTCCTATTTAAAAATACTCTTTAAAACAAACTTATCTTGAAGATTTTAGCGAAAAGTCATGTCGATATATATTCATAATAAATGTCTGGACGCCCAAAAATCTTTAAATACTCCCATCCCTCTTCTCTCTACGTTAACGTTCTTTGTAGATGACTTTCTCAAGAAATCATCGTTATTGTTATCTTTATTTCACAAACATAACATTGGTTTTTGTATCTATATTCTTCACATGAATACTTCCTCTAATTAGTCATTACTTCATACAAAATGAGTTAGCCTTGATAAGATCTAGGAACTCCTAGTAACTAAAGAGCATGAACATCGACATTTATTTATTACTTCACGCCCTTTTCAAAATGCCCTGGAAGAACATAATAAATTCTATACTATACTTTATTTTTTTCTAATATATTATACTAAAGAAAATAAAGATGCCAATAAAATATCGTTTGAATTGTGTGTTTTTGTGTTGTTTAAGGTTAACTTAAAATACTATTACAGCTAAATATAATAGCATGTAATATAAAAGTAATGGCACAAATGTCGATTCTTATATTTCTTGATAGACAAAGTTCTGAGAAGAAATTTTTTTTATCAATAGATAGAAAATTTTCTCCTCTTTCAAACTGTATCTGGCTTATTTTTTTATCACACACTCATAAATATAACGACATCAGATGGGAGAGAGACACTCTAAAAATAATTCCGCACTTTTCGTTTATTTCGAAATAACAGCACAAAATATCGATCACCATATATCTCTTTTTTAAGTAGGTATTAGAATGATGATTTTATAATATGCTAGTAGGAAATTTTTTCTTCTTTTAAACTGTATTTACTTTGTTTTTGTTACACATTCATAATCAGAATCACATGAGAAAAACAGAGAAATGTTTATATTAGAAATTTTCGATTTTTTCATTCATTTATCAGAGAAATCTTATAAAATATTGGTTACTTCTCCTACTAAACAAGTACTCGAGAAAAAGAAATGTATAGTATAATGATTAAGCATCTTAAACATCAACGAACAAAATTTTCACGAGAAACTGAGGGTCCAGTAAAAATTTGCAGTGGAAAGTTTAAGAACTACCGAAATCTGTTAATACTCAGAGTAATGTAAATCAACATAAGTTGGCTGAGTGTTTTCATGTTAGCAATAAACCGTCAGTTCTTGTTTACATGGAAGAACAACAGCGGACATCAGGGAACATTGCAGATGTGTAAAAATGAATGGTAAAGGTAAATAAATCGTTTATTTCAAAATGCCTGTTCGGTAGAAGAATTAAGCAGACATGTCCATCGCGGCGTGGTAGCGACTAGAGGTGTAAGCCGTGCGGCTGAGCCGCCGTCGCCGCCGATAAATTCGAAAAATTTTAAGCCGCCGCCGCCATGACAGTAGAAATGTTAGAAATTTTTAAGCCGTCGCCGCTGAGGCACTTTAATTACAGCCGCCGCGCCGCCGATAGTATTCGAAATTTTAAAATTATCGAGCCGCCGCCGGCAACTATTGTAAATATCGATAACATTTCATTTATATTTTCCTTAATTCGATACTTTTACATCTTAGAACCCCAATATATCTCTTTTTCATTAACTTTCTCGCCTTCACCTTCATTTTCATGCTGGTTCTCTGACCAATCAGATGCTTGGGGTTCTAAATTGTGAATGAACCCTTAATTCTGTGTTGGTTGAAAATTCTAAGTTATCATTTTAGTTTATGTCTCTTATATTAGATATATTTAGAAATACAAGAAGAGACGAGCATTTTAAATTTTAATTAACAAAAACAAAATAAAAACAACAAACTTGAGTATGCTAAGTGCTTTTACTTATTAACAATCGTGGTGGTGATTTCTCATTTATTATTTATCCTGGCAATTATATTTATTTTTAATTATAGACTTTTTTATTATGTCTAGATGTGAAATAAAGTTTTTCCACATATGTGTTTGAAAATAAAAAGGCCAAGATATTGAAACAGGCCTTGTCTACACTAAAAATTTTGACGCTGAATTAAGAAATATGATTGGTTGAACAGTTAGTAAATATTTAAAACACTTTTAAAAAGCGCATTAAATTTATTGCACATTTCAGAACAACATTAAATTTGATGCACCAATCAATGTCTGATTCGATTTTCTAATGAGACTGACACAATTTTCAATGGACGAGTCCTCTATGATTGAAGTGAACAAAAACCACGATTCATTTCGACGTCTAGGATTCTGATTGATGCATTAACTGTCAAATGTAGACACGAATTGATGTAACACGAATTTGATACTACATTATATTCCTAGTGTAGACAAGGCCATAGACTAATATTTTTATGATAATGTAGTACTTTTTAAACTTCAAGCCGCCGCCGCTGAGACACTTTAATTACAGCCGCCGCGCCGCCGATGGTATTCGAAATTTTAAAATTTTCGAGCCGCCGCCGCTGTGCAACCTTAGAATATCATATCTGCGCCGCCGAGCATTTTTAAAAAATTTTAAAAAACTGGCGCCGCCGCCGATCAGCCTATCGGCTTACACCTCTAGTAGCGACAGGTTTTTTAATAAACTATCGCGGCAGCGGCGGAATTTTTTTGAAGGACATTGAAAAATTGCATGAATTGCATAGAATTTCAGGGTTTACAAATGAAACACACCGAGATCGAATGAATCTGATGGACTAGCACCAATATCTCTGGTCAAATACAGTCGCAGCAGTGAAATTAGAAATACTTCTTTGAAAACCACCGCAGCGGCGGCACGTTTATTTTATAATTCATCACGGCAGCGGGTGTGGTGTGGATCATAGTGGACAGAAAAACGAGGTCAAGAGCAATTTCCAGTTGCCAAATCGCTTTTGGATCGAGACTATGTGCATTGTGTAGACCCTAATGAGCTATAAATATTCTGAAAAAAGTTTGTGTTTATAACTTATTTCTATTGAGATGTTTATTTTTTATGGCATTTTTTAGGAAAAGGCCATGGTCCTCCTCAGGTTCATCTGGAAAATCAATTTTCGAATTTCGACTTGAAACTTTATTCAGAGAAAGGTGGCAATGAGACTAGTTTATTCTAAAAGTTTTGGATTTTTGAGTTCCGTCTATTCCGAGATACGAGTATAAGGAAAAAATATTCTTTTTCACATCACTTATAGTACAAAATGTTAAGTGTTCATATTTAAGCATAGGAGTAACTAAGAAATTAATAACTCTCAGGATTAAATAATCTCATTGACATCTTTCGTTGCGCAAAGTTTCAAGTCGAAATTCCAAAGTTAATTTTTCAGATGAACCTGTGGAAGACCATGGCGTTCTACGCTAGGCGAATTAGTCCAAGAATTACATTTTCTGGAACTTGTTGCAATGGGAGATAAAAATGGTAATTTTGTTATATCTTGTTTGTTATAATATGTATGGAGGAGCGGTTTTCCCTATACGATGCAGCTCATCGAGTTCTATACAGATCATTCATTGGCTTACTGATTATTTCATTTATTATACTGACTATTCAAATGGTAGCCTAAAATTTCTATCGAAAGAAAAACAACGTATGTTTTGATGACATTTTCATGATTATTGTGTGCCTATTGTGATGTACTTTTTTTTTCTCTATTATTATCG